CCTCTCGCCTCCATGCCTAGGAGAGCTGTCCTTGCTCTGCGCTTCTAAGGCCCCCTGTATCTGTGAGTTTCAGGTGCTTTCTCACTAGACAAACTCCGTGAGACTGGAGCCATGTCTGCATTACATTCTCCACCCACATATCTTCAACCCAGGGCCTGCTGTGTGTAGATACCCAATCACGGCTGACAGTAGGAACAGGGGCAGGCGGGGAAGTGTTTGCTGAAGTTCTGAATGGCACTGTGCTAGGACAGGAATGGCAGAGGTTTAGAAGCCTGGAGACCCATTGTCTGTCCTTGGGCATGTTGGTTGGGGGTAGGATTCTGGGTTTCCTCATCTGCAAATGAGGACAACAGTGCCTTCTTCATAGAGTAGATATAACCATCACTTTAAAGAATGGCCCAGGCTCTGGTGTCCTCTACACTCTCTGTCCCTAGAACTCACTTGCTTCATTGATTGACACGTAACTGCTAACAGTTTATGTCCCCGGACCGGATTCCCCTGCTAGACTCAGACTCACATCAAACGTGTGCTCCTCGTGGTTACATAGCACATGTGAGTACTTAAGCTCCACACAGCCTGCTCCTCCCCAGTCTCCCTCATTGTCAGAATGCTACTGTCATCCATGTCAACTTCTTAGAACAGAGGTGAAATTTACATAGCACAAAGTTACCCACTTTAAAATGTGTGGTTCAGTGGCGTTTAGTAACTCCACAATGTGTACAACCATTACAACTCTGCCTCATTCCAAAAAGAAAACACTCAACCATTCTACTGCCAGGGCCCCATTCCTGCTTCTCCTCAGTCTGCGGCAAACACAGATCTCTCTCTCTCTCCTCTCCCCGCCCCCCCCGTGTGTGTGTGCATGTTTGACATTGAGATGTCACTTACTTTTTAAGAGTGTTTCTCACTAAACCTGGAGTTCACTGTTTCTGCTTGACTGGCTGGGCAGAGAGCCCCTGGTCTCTACCCCCAGCTTAGGGGTTACAGGATGCATTGCCACATGCAGTTTTTCACATAGATGCTAAAGATCACTTACTTTTTAAGAGTGTTTCTCACTAAACCTGGAGTTCACTGTTTCTGCTCGACTGGCTGGGCAGAGAGCCCCTGGTCTCTACCCCCAGCTTGGGGGTTACAGGATGCATTGCCACATGCAGTTTTTCACATAGGTGCTAAAGATACACTCGGGGCCTCATGCTTGTGTAGCAAGCACCGTACTCACTGAGCCATCTCCCCAGTTCTGTGTCTGGCTTTTTCTACTTACATTTTTTATAATGTTTGCAAGGTCTGTTTAGGTTGTTGCTTAGCACTTTGTTTCTTTTCATGTCCGAGTAATAGTCCATTGTGTGCACATAGCACATTTTGTCCATTCCTTCACCTAGAGATGGACATTTGTCATCCATCCAATCCTTGATCCTTTTCTGTATACCTCCAATCTAGTGTATCAGAGAACCTATTCATTCTATGTCCAAGATATAGTTCAGATCCTTCTGCTCTTTCCATCTGCGTACACGAGACACCATATCTCATTCACCTAACTTCTACTTCGTGACAAGACCCCATTATTTCTTCTCTCTAGTTCACTTTTCACCCTGAAGCTGGTGAGGTTCTTTTAAAATACAATCTAGACCATCCATACATTCAAACTTCAGTAACTGAGTTTCATTCTTCATGGTGCTTACCTTCTGGAGGCATGCCAGAAAATAAACAGATGTATAGCCACTCTATGAGGTCATTACTAGGGTTAAAATCCTTCACCGACTTCAGTGCACTTTGGGCAAAACCCAAGCTTAGAGTGCCCCCAAGGCCTCTATCATCTTCAAAGGCATCTCGGTCAGTTCCAAATAACCCTCTCTTTGGGCTCCAGCCACCATGGGCTGCAATCTATCACCTCAGGGTCCCTCTGCAAGCTGTTCTATTTGCTTCTTGATCTGGGTCTTTTCACCTTTTGGGTGTCAGTGTAACTATCACTCTCCTGAGTAAACTCCCCTCACTACCCTGTGAAGCAGACCCACTCTTTATGCATTCCACTCATTCAAGAAATATGTGCTAGGCTGGGGGCATAGCTCAGTGGTGGGGGCTTAGCTATCATGCGTGAGACCCAGGGTTCAATCCCTATATAACACACATACACATATATACATACATAATGAAGAAATGCATACTGAACATTGCTGGGCCCTTGGGATAAAGAGGCATGTAATCCCCTGGAGCCCAGCGTAACGAGGAAGACCAACACAGGAAAGAGACTAAAATAAAAAGAGAGAATGAAAGCGTGCGTGTTTGCTTCACAGGAAATGGTTCAGAGGCCTTTCCAAGGAAATTGCATTGCATACAGGACATGAAGAATCACTCAGACAAAGAGCCTGATTCTCTTGATCACACCCTGGCTCCACAGTGCAACATTGCATCTTTCAATATTTTCTTTCAAAAAGTCAAGTATTTAATGTTTCTCCCTAGTGGCCTTAGCTGTACCCTCTACCTGGGACAGCCCCTACTGTCTGGAAGGCACTCCACACAGACTGAGTGGATGAATCAGTAGTTGAATTAATAAGTGACTAAATGCATCAATGAAGCACTTCCTAAAGCGTCACAGGTAACACAGTGTGACGGATTGTTGTCATTGATATCTTATGGCAAACATGGCCTCCATTAGGCTTGAGAAAAGACTGTAAAATGTGAATAAAAGCTCACAGCTTGGAGTGTGTTGGGACCAGGAGAGAACGCGAATACATAGCAAGTACTCAGTACAGGAGTCTGCAGTCCAAAGGATCCGCATTTTCTGCCCAAAGCTGTCTGGTGACATAGTGACAGGAAGCTATGGGATAACTCTCACAATTTCTTCCAAGACAAGATGCTCATTACCTCCCAGTGTCCAGCTGCTGGGTATATTGGCTGCTCACAGCTCACATTTGAGTCCCTGTTTAGAAACTGTTCTGTTGAAGGCTGAGCCCCTCCCTGGGAGCATTCTGCGCTCACTGTCTGTTCAGCAAGGCCTTCGGAGTCTCGGTGGCGGTCTTGAGCACCTTTTCATTTGCATCATGTATCAGTATTTGCCTGTTCCTGGTCCTGCTCCCCCAGATACTTACTTACTTGAACAGCAGGACAACTTCTCAAGAAACCTCCTGCACAGAAATTTCAGCGTCTGCTCTAGTTTCATTTCTGCTACTGTGATAAAATATCCTGACAGAAAGCAACGTAGGGAAGAAAGGGTTTAACTCACAATTCCAGGTTACAGCCCATCATTGTGGGAGGTCAAGGGGGCAGAACTTGAAGGAGCTGATCAGACCCAGTCAAGAGCAGGGAGAGAAAAAAGCATGCCCAATACTCAGATCACTTTCCCCACTTTTATACAGTTCAGGATTCAAACCCAGGGAACATCACTGCATTCACTGGACAGTCTTCCCACATCAATTAACTTAACCACCAAGGCAACCCCCCACAGATATGCTCATAGGCCAACTTGATCTAGACAGTGCCGTCATTGAATTCTCTTCCCATATGATTCTAAGTTGTGGCAAGTTGATCACTAAAACCAACCAGCATGTATCTCTACTTTTTCCCCCCAAGAATCTTGCCTATGGAATTTAGGCACAACAATTTCCTTTGTTACACAAAAAATTGGTTTGCAAGGTCGAGCATGTCTGCAAGGCACGTGGATAAAGTGACTTTCTGACTTTCCAGTGAGCCATTGCTCTTGACACTACAGCAGTCAACACATGACCTTGCCTCCAGCAGCAGCCCTGTGAGGCAGGAGGGGAGGCCACTGGAAGGAGGAGACAAAGAGGGCACAGGAACCTCCATAAACCTCCAGGGGCTGTCCCCTAGGACAAGACAGAGGTCACAAACTCCAGAAACAATATACAATGACACACAGCTTGCAGAAGCATCATGTGGAAGCATCTCTCTGCCTGAATCTGTGTGCAGAAACCAGGGTACAGTGAGTCCTAAGGAGCCAGAGTCCTGCAGGCAAGCTGCCTGAAGATCAGCTTTTTACAGCTTACCAGCTTGAGGAAGCCCAGCATCCATCACGGCCCACAGAGCTTCCAGAGCTGCCTGAGGGCCAAATGGAATTCTTCCCCCAGCCTCCTTCACCCCAAGACAAACTTCTAAGACTGCACCTTCAGACCTGGGTACCTTTTGCAACCCCTACCATGTTGCAGTTTTTTTCCCACCCACCAGACCTGGTCCTCCTGGGCTATCTGATGTTTGGTTAGGCTGAGGTCCTGACCCTCTTATCATCACATGAGAAACTACCAGGAGTCCTTGCTGTCCCTGCAGCCCCCCTCTGCACAGTCTTCAGGCTGGTAAACTCGTCTACTCCTGCAAGTCTACACTGAAGCCACCTCCTCTCTGAAGCCTTCCTGGCTGCATCACGACCCACCTACCTCTGTTCTTTACCCTTCTCTGAAATCCTTCCTATTGCCGCTGTTCAGGGACGCCAGCAACTCGCTTCAGGCCGCTAGGGGTGAGCGCTGTGCCAGGCACTCAGGAAAAAGACGGGGGCGGGGGGGGGGGTCGCGTTGCATCAGTGCTCCTAGCTAGGCTAAGGAAACGCTCTCAGGTTTATTCCTGCACCCCAGGATGGCTGGAACTACGACACTGCGCGATAAATCTGAGCCCCAGCCCCTAGGCAACAGGTCCCGAGGGCTCCGCAGACCTAAGGCAGGTGAGGGAACTAGGTGCGGAGCACTGGCACACGCTGCAGCTCCTGGCTCCTGGATCACGCTTTCTACCGGATCCGGGTGCCGGGCGGAGACCTCAGGAGCCACTATCTTGTGCGCCTCGGGCTCCGGTGCCATACAGGGAGTGGAGCCAGGGCCCCGCAGCGACAGCCTGGGGAGAGAGGGCGGTGCGCCAGGCCCTCGCTGCACCCGCATCCCGCGAGCACAGAGCTCCTGGGCACACAGCCCCGCGCCAGGACGCGACAGCAGCCCAGGCGGGGGGTGGGGGCTCCCTACGGCCAGAACCCCGCAAAGTCTGCATCGCCGTGGCTCACCTACCGTGGGAGCCGCCGGGGGCCCGTGGATGTCTTGGCCGCGCAGCCCGCCACTCGGTCCGTGGACGCTGCGGAGCCGGGGAGCTCTGCCTCCTCCCAGCACCGCGCCAGCGCCTCCGCCCGGCGGCCCGGCCTCCCCACGCCGCGGCGCCATTGGCTCGGGCAGCGAAGCCCCGCCCCAGGCCCCGCCCCTCCCACCTTTCCCGGCGCACCGGGCTTTCTGCGCCAGACAAGTAAGGAAAGTTGCTACCAGGCAAAGCACTTACTCTCTCTTTGGCCTCTGGCGGCCAAGTAAAGCAATCTTTCTCCATCCCAGGACGCGCAAAACGCCCCTGCGGGAGTGCGAACAGTGCGGTCGAGTGTCTTGGAAGCCAACTTTGAGCACGTCGGTTGACCTTCCCTGTGCCTTTGAGGCACCTGAAAGAAACCAACAAATGTCACGGGGTGTGTGCTGGGCACAAGCACAGAGTATTGTATATTAAGCTGGGAGTGACTCGGGGGTAGGTTTCACACAAGACACAAAAGATCATAAGATCATGTCAGCTGGCTGTGAACTGAGAGAAATCATATGTTAAGAACACAAAAGAGAGGGGTCAGCACTATGCCAGGACAGTCTATGAAGGCAATTTGTGACATCTGAATTAAGACTACAAGGATAAAGGCAGTTCTAGAACTGGGGAAGACATTGGTGACAACAGGAGCAGTAGACGCCTGTGGTCCTGAGGCTGGAACTGGAACCCCAGACAATCGTGAGGTAGCAGAGCGAGGAAGGCTAGCCAAATAACCCCGAAGGCTGTGGGCCTGAGGAGGGGACGTAGCTTCCACTGGGTGAACTTCTGTAGAGCCAATGCTCTGTCCACAGCTCAAGGATATTGTGGAAGCCAGGGGAAGAGATCTGATCTATATCAGGGTAGTGACAGCAAGAAAAGGAAAGGCAGGCTGATGTGAGTACATTCTGAGTGACAGGGGAAAGTCTACTGGGTTGATTGTGGATGGATTAAGGGGATTAGGAAAAGTGAGACTGGAGACCATCTCCTGGGAGTCTGGCTTGAGTCATCATCTGACCATGCTGCTCTAACCAAGGTGGGGAACGTTCTAGTATCTTCCAAGCACTGTTTCACCCTGAGTCAGCAACCCTGAACTCTGTCTAGGAGGGCATAACCCTAGCTCAGGATCACAAACGCTACCTTGGAAGGGGTGGCTGGAACATACAGAGAATATAGGAAAAGCTAGTAGGGCAGAACTGAATAGTGAGGTTTGTGGCACCCTGAAGTATGCACATCTCCCAAGGAGGGCAAGTGATGCTCACGTTAGACTGATTTCGTTGGTCCGTACCATAACTACTTCCTCCCCCACTGCCCAAGAGCCTTCCAGCAGACAGACTTTGCTGTAGCTGCACTCTAATCCCCAAGGGAAGCTAGCTGGGCATAAGTTAGCATTCCTTATTGGGTTTAAAAAAAATTTTTATTTATTATTTTTATTTTATGTGTATGCGTGTATTGCCTGCACGTAGGTAAGTGCACCCATGTTGTGGAATGCCCGCGGAGGTCAGAAGAGGCTGTCGGATCCCTTGTGACTGGAGTTACGGACAGTTCTCAGCTGCCATGTGGGTGCTGGGATTTGAACCCGGGTCTTCTGTAAGAACAACCCGTGTTCTTAACTGCTGAGCCACCTCTCCAGCCCGAGTATTGTGATTTTTGTTAAAGGGTCAGGGATTTGAATGATGCTGAATCTGGAGAGTATTTTGGGGTACGTGTTTTGATTTGACTTTCGTTTTGACATTTTTAATTGTTTTGGAGGCTGAGAGAGCCAAGACTGTTAGACAAAATCAGTATGTGTATGGTCTGGGTTTACCCGTCAGTAAATCTTGCAAGAAATGTCCTCATCATTCCGTTCCAGATTGAATGGAGATGGCGGTGGAAGGAAAGACTGTCAGGGAACTCTCAGCCCCCAAACTAGCATAGACTGTGAAAGTATTTGGCAGGGCTCTGCCTACTGGGAAATCCTTTTTATGCCTCAGTTTCCCTCATAAGGTCAGAGCAGAATTCCCTCAAGACTCCTCCCCAATGCAGCATTTAGACTTTTAAACAGAGTTTTTTACACTACCGGTATTCAAATGCATAGGAAATTTTCTTGGAAAGAAGTGGAAGGGGGATTCTTGTCTGAGTATGCTCATCTAAAGAGCCTCACTATCAATTCTAAACAAAGAAGGGAGGAAACAGAAAGTGTAGTAGAGGGTTAGATGGGAAGCCAGACAAATTATTGCACAAAATTCAGTTTTTATTGCACTATAAATAAGAAAGGGTGGCAATTAGATGCAGGAGATTATGATGGTTTTTACTGAAAATTCAATGTATGGTAGCCAACACTCAGCATTTATCACTAGGGGTTTTGCAGTAATGAGATTCTCCCATCATGCATTGGAGGTCAGCTGCACCTAGCGTTATTTATTTTTATGTACTGAACTCGAATAATGAAAGGATTCTGAAAGTGATAATCATTCTCAGAAGAGCAATTCCTTCACTATTACTTCCCCCACATGCAATAGTGTTTAAATTTGGAAAAACAATGTATGATTTCATAAGTCACTGGGTTTTGTGCTGGAGGATGAACAAGAGGTTGGGAGGGAGAAGACCTGATGAGAGGTCATTAAATAATATCTCTGCACCTTCTTCAGCAGCAAAATGAGTGCTAGGCAAAAGGTCACCATCTAGAAAATATCTGTTATTTATTCTTCTATATCTTTTTAAAGACTTACTTTTAAAAATGTGTGCCTGTGTGTGTGTGTGTGTGTGTGTGTGTGTGTGTGTGTGTGTGTTTGGGGTCAGCTGCACGTGTGTACAGTTGCCCATGGAAGCCAGAAGCATTGGCTCCCCTAGAATTATAGACAGTTATAAGTTACTGACATGGATGTTGGAAGCAAACTTGGGTCCTTTGCGAGAGTGGTACCTGCCCTTAACCACTGAGCCATATCTCCAGTCTCTCTACTTCCATATCTTGAGGAGAAGGTCATTTTTCATTGTGTGGAAATCTGGCAATTCCTCTGTAAGAACCTTTCAGAGTCTGCCACTGAATCCCCCCCCAAATCCCAATTCACCCCTAATCCTTGAGTCATAATGTTAGCTCAGTTCAGCCTATCAGATATTCATTCCAGGCACTTTGTCTCCTCAAAGTGACAAAATGAGGAGAGAGATTGGCCAGGAGACTGTTTATGGTGACAGCAGCAGCATCCTAAAGAGACTAGACTGTGTGGTTGTGAACCACAGTGGCGGCTTTTATTGCTCCCTTAATAAACGCCTATTTCTCAAGTCTCATCCTCTCCCTCACCTTATCATTTTTCCTTGGTGAATCTCCCACTTCTGCTGAACTTCCTTCTTGTGTCAGTCACCCAATTATTTCTGTAGTTTTGAACCAAGACCCTGATGGATTCAGGAAGGAAAGAAAGATTGCATCATATGACCTCAAAGGAATAGTTTAGCATAGGGCTCTGCACACAAATGAATGTCTACACAGTAACAGGTGCACATGTTCTTTTTTTACTTAGTGGGAACTCACACCCCACAGGTGGTGGTAGTAGTAGTATTTGAAAATGATATTTAAATTTGAAAAGAGCCAAGATCTACTATTCTTAGAAAATCTAAAAAAAAGTGAGAAAGCTCTTAGAATAACAACGCGTCCTGGAAATAAGCCTCCTGTGAGTACTGTAGCTTGCAAGTGCTTCACATTTTCTATGCAGAGCTAGTGAGAGACAGCTGAGCTGGAGCCTGGGCCTTAATTCAGCACAGTTCATGACTTATTGGGTCATAACTTGTCTATACTTGCTGACAAGGGTAGAATTGTTCTGTTGTCTATCCATGACAAGATTGGAAAGGTTATCAGAAAGTTTAAAAAAAATTTTTAATGTGTATGAATGTTTTGCCTGCATGTATGTAAGTGCACCGATGTCATGCAAGGCTCACAGAGGCCAGAAGCGGGTGTCAGATCCCCTGGAACTGGAGTTACGGATGGCTGTTAACCACCATGTGGGTGATGGGAACTGAATTCAGGTCCTCTGCAAGAGTAGTCAATGCTCTTAACTGCTGAGCCATCTCTCTAGCCCCAGTAAGTGCCATTTTATCAGTTGGAGGAATAAAGACATAAGAGGTGTCTTGGAGCCCAACCAGAGAGAACAATGTAAAGATAATAGATGGGAAAACTTTTCAGTTTCATCTGCTTCCACAAAACGATTAATTTCATCTCTGAACTCTGGTATGATGAGAATTCCAGAACATTTGGTTGTTGTTTTTTTTCTTTTTTCTTTCTAGAATTCCCAAGTCAAGATTCAGCTTTGCCATGGCTGAGCCTTGGACTGAAGTGGATTCTGAGCTGAAGACTTGGGGAGATTTTATGCTTGCTTGTGTGTAGCACAGAGTATTTTTGCTGACATTGCAAAGGATTGCCATGGCAACCAGTAAAGTAAATTTCTAAGTCCTTGCAGTCTCCCTCAAAGGAGGCAGATGCCAGTGGGTGTTCCTTTGTCATTAAGGGCGCATGGAGGTTTCAGCTGATCTGCTCAATCTGAAGGTGATGCTATAACACATTTGGTTCCAAGACTTAGTGGAAGCAGCTGCAGTGAGGTAGAAAGGGGAGGACCAAGTCTGTGGGATGAATGATAAAAGTTTTTCTGCAGTGGTTTCCATGGTTGGATGCACATTCCAACTACCTTTGCAGATTAAAAGGCATGATGCATGGAGCACCTACAAATCAGTTGAGAGCAAGGTTGAATGCACATTCTAACCACCTCCCCAGGCTAAAATGTATGATTCATGGATGCCTGGACTGCGGTAGCCCCAGCTACTCAGCTGACAGGGATAGGGCCAGGATGTCAGCAGGTAGATAGTGTATCAATATTGTGAAACCAAGCTTAAGAACCCCTGAACAACAGTGAGAGTCCAGATCCATAGTACACTATCTCACTGTGAGGTTTGAGGTTAACACTTTTTACTTCTCCAGGCTTTGCGTTCTTCACCTAGGAAATAAAATCATTATGATGGTCGGCTTTAATTGTCAACTTGATACAATCTATA